GTTGTCGAGCTCTAACCAACTGAGCTACAGAGAGACAGTTGTCGAGCTCTAACCAACTGAGCTACAGAGAGACAGTTGTCGAGCTCTAACCAACTGAGCTATAGAGAGACAGTTGTCCAGCTCTAACCAACTGAGCTACAGAGAGACAGTTGTCGAGCTCTAACCAACTGAACAACAGAGAGACAGTTGTCGAGCTCTAACCAACTGAGCTACAGAGAGACAGGTGTCGAGCTCTAACCAACTAAGCTACAGAGAGACAGCTGTCGAGCTCTAACCAACTGAGCTACAGAGAGACAGTTGTTGAGCTCTAACCACAAGTTCATGTATATATACTGGGGTACTGCCACGTGTAGGTCATGTGCAAATATTAACAGTTGAAGGGTCTTGTAGACGAAATTATCGTGTGGCAATTTATATAAATTGCCTCAAAGAAATCAAACTATCGGTAAATTTGCGGGAGAAACGCATGCTTAATGATTGTTCAGTTGGCAAAACTAATACATCCCATGCAGAAGAGCCTTTTTAGGGTGGACATCTCCAGGGGGGGAGGAGGGCTAGACACCACTAGGTGGGGTATGCACCCCCCCCCCCCGCCTTTGAGATAGCATTATAAAAACAATCTTGATTTATAAAAAAGAAAATAAGATATATGCTCATCATATTCATCGACTGATATGACTTTGATACTATCTCTCGTATAAACGGAAGATTTTCAAATCAAGTAATCGGCGCATGTATATTCATAAATATTAAAATTGAAATATATTTGCTATGTGCATGGATCAACGCGATAATTCTTGTATATTCTAGAAAGGAACAATCCTTGTATTCTGTCAAGGGTTTTCCTAAATTCTATATAAAACCAAACTAAAAATATTGTGTGAAATTATAGTATGAATAATAACAAATCAAAAATGATAATTTCTTGCCCTCTAGCTAACAGCCAGACAGCTTGTTTGACCGACTTGAACAAATAAAAGATAATTCGTCTTATACTTCCTCTTTGTATAGAAAACGGCAACAGAAACTTAAATGATATATACTCGCTATATAGCAGAAGATTTTACACCTAGGATTTGTTTTTTGTTATTTAATTTAAATCTAATTTAAATCTTGTATATACAGTCTAATTAAAGTCCACACTCGTAAAAGCATCATTTACTAATTAAATTCATTGTATTTTGGAACGGAGTAAAACGTGGAATCATGCATATGTCGAAATCTGGCATAGTTAACAACGCTCTCTCTCTGAGAATATAAGCATGCATGGTTAGATCATACAGAGGTAGTACATGTTCTTAAATGTAGGCTACCTTAAAGTGATCTGATGTTGCACAGAACTTTTGTGCAGTAGAGTTAAGTCTCTGTGAGTTAAGCATTGTTAAATCATACAGTTTTACAGAGGTAGTACATGTTCTTAAATGTAGGCTACCTTAAAGTGATCTGATGTTGTACAGAACTTATGTGCAGTAGAGTTAAGTCTCTCTGAGTTAAGCATTGTTAGATCATGCAGAGGTATAGTACATGTTCTTGAATGTGAGCTGCCTTAAAGTGATCTGACGTTGTACAGAACTTGTGTGCAGTATAGTTAAGTCTCTCTGAGTTAAGCATTGTTAGATCATGCAGAGGTAGTACATGTTCTTGAATGTGGGCTACCTTAAAATGATCTGACGTTGTACAGAACTTATTTGCAGTAGAGTTAAGTCTCTCCAAGTTAAGAATTGTATGATGTTGTACCGAACTCATGTGAGTATAGAGTTAAGTCTCTCTGAGTTAAGCCCATGGCATGGTTAGATCATACAGAGGTAGTACATGTTCTTGAATCTATAGGCTACCTTAAAGTGATCTGATGTTGTACAGAACTTATGTGCAGTAGAGTTAAGTCTCTCTGCATGAGTTAAGCATGGTTAGATCATACAGAGGTAGTACATGTTCTTGAATGTGGGCTACCGCGTCGAGGCTACTACTAGAGCCCAAATCAGAATCCGGTTTTTATTTATCACACTCAATATGCCAAAATTAGAGCAGCCAAAACAATACCGAATGACATTTTTCAATACACTTGACAAATATATATGATTGTAAAAGGATAAAATATTATATGGAGTCTCTCGCTATATAGCATTAGAAGGTACGTAGTTCAAATTTATTTTAATTTTTTTAGATAAAGAATTAGTAATATTCGCTAATTTAGTAATTTCATTTGATTCGTGTAAAAATTCCAAATGTTTATATAATTACGTGTACAGTCTGCCTAGAATATAGCACTATTTTCATTCGTTGCAGAATGATAAATTATAAAACAGATTATTTTTGGAAAAAAAGGGTAGGGGAATATTATTTGTATCACAAAATGTATATGATATACACATATATACAAATACATGTACATACGGAAAAAAAAGTTCTCAAGTGAGATCAATTGGCTGTTGAGATTTTCTAATATTTATTAAATATGAATTCGTAATCGATACGAAATTCCGATTTATTTCATGCATATTATACCGCCTCGCGGGAAACGTGTTCAAAAACCTAAAATCGTTTGGCGTTCCTCTCAAAATTACTTTGTTTTAGCTTTATTTTGTAGTTTAAACAGTTAGCTACCTTTTTAAACGTATCTGGCTGTTGAGAAACACAAAATAATAGTTAAATATTTGAATGCAATTATCATTGAGGCTGTAAAATTGACGCCATATTTATACAGCAATATAAGTAAAACTTACTGAACGTCATCATATACAACATTTTCTCTTTGGCGTACCATTTAAAATCTCTTCATTTTAGCATTATTTTACAGATAAAGCACTAAACATACTTTTTAAGTTTGTTTACCGCTTGTGAAACGTATCAAAAATTTTAAAAAATTGATTATAGTCATATTAAACCAAGTGGAAAAGAATATTCATTAGTTTTGCATGAGCGCGTGTTACGTAACATACAAAAGATTCTTTAAGGCGGTAACAAAGGGCATATAAATCCATTACTTTTTCTAACGGCTGACGCTTTCTCAATTTCGGCCCGGGGTCATCTTGATGGAAGGTCGCGTTTCGGAGGACGTTAACAATTTTGCACAGCCAATTTCACGTAATTTTAACAATTTAAATGCATATTTTTGTGTGTGTTTTGATGTTATGTACTCAGGTGAATATAATGTTTTTGATGTTATACTCTGAGTGTATATCCACACCGGGCAGGCTTGAAAAGTTAGCCCGCTGACCACGGTGGGAATGGAACCCGCGACCTTTGGGGTAGGCCTCGTAGCTCAGTTGGCAGAGCATTGGACTACAAAGGCATTTGACTGCGTTGATCATAGTATTTTAGCCTACTAAGAAAACTTTACCATCCTTTTTGGGTCGCGGAGTTCGATTCCCACCGTGGCCAGGCATATTTTTCAAGCTTGCCCGGTGTGGATATACACTCAGAGTAACATCAAAAACAATTTAAACGCACTCACTAGTTTGTGGCCATCTTAATTGCTTTTCTTCAATCTCAATATAGCAGCTCAGCAGGCATCCAATTCTCGCGGTTCATTATGATTTCAATCTGGTTTTCTAGAAAAGTTACAGAAATGTTCTCACGTTCAACTGAGGGCGTGTGTTTGCAATACATTCGATCAAAACTAAACTTTATAACATTATTTATACCTAGAGGTCCAGTAAGGATCACCTCTTATTGATCCGGTGTTTCTACAGGAAGAAACCTAAACTAAACTATCTTTATTTATACTGTATAGTTCTATCAGTTCTATAAATTGTTCTTCCTAGAAGTCCAGTAAGGATCATCTCTTATTGATCCAGTGTTGCTACAGGAGGAAACCTAAACTAAACTAACTTTATTTATACTGGATAGTTCTATCAGCTCTAAACTGTTCTCCATAGAGGTCCAGTAAAGAATCATCTCGTATTGATCCAGTGCTACTACAGGAGGAAACCTAAACTAAACTAACTTTATTTATACTGGATAGCTCTATCAGTTCTATAAACTGTTCTTCCTAGAGGTCCAGTAAGGATCATCTCTTATTGATCCAGTGTTACTACAGGAGGAAACCTAGACTAAACTAACTTTATTTATACTGGATATAGCTCTATCAGTTCTAAACTGTTCTCCCTAGAGGTCCAGTAAGGATCATCTCTTATTGATCCAGTGTCACTACAGGCGGCAACCTAAACTAAACTAACTTTATTTATACTGGATAGTTCTATCAGCTCTAAACTGTTCTCCATAGAGGTCCAGTAAGAATCATCTCTTATTGATCCAGTGTTACTACTACAGGAGGAAACCTAAACTAAAGAACTTTATTTATACTGGATAGCTCTATCAGTTCTAAATTGTTCTTCCTAGAGGTCCAGTAAGGATCATCTCTTATTAATCCAGTGATACTACAGGAGGGAACCTAAACTAAACTAACCTTATTTATACTGGATAGCTCTATCAGTTCTAAACTGTTATTCCTAGAAGTCCAGGAAGGATCATCTCTTATTGATCCAGTGTTACTACAGGAGGAAACCTAAACTAAACTAACTTTATTTATACTGAATAGGTCTATCAGTTCTAAACTGTTATTCCTAGAAGTCCAGTAACGATCATCTCTTATTGATCCAGTGTCACTACAGGAGGAACCTATACACTAAAGGGCAAAAGGCACTCGCGTGTGTATTGTGATGTCACAACAGAGACCTTCCGTAGGAACTGATATGCAATTAATTAAGCCAACACAAGAAAATAATAAAAAAATCAAGTCGAAATATAATTTGATTTTCTACATAGATAACATTATTTCCTGACAAGAAAACACACTATGTAATTGAAAACAAAATTAATAAGGTCCGCAGCACGCTGTCAAAAAAGGCCCGAAAAACACTTTTAAATTAATAAAAGTTTCGAAAAACAACTTATCTTAATAAAAACACGAAGCGTATAAATTAAATTTTGATTGACTACTTTTGAGGTTATCTTCTTCTGACTGTTCTTCGAGTGTTAATTCAAGAAAAATTACTGACATTTTTCAATAACATAACTTGGATTCTATCCTTCGAGCACGGACAATTTCCGCAATAATTATAGAAAAGGTTTGCTTTTTACTTTTCATTTATAATAGACGACTATTACTTTGCAATTTCTTTGGAAAAGTTCTCAAAGATCTAGTGTAGGTAGTATTCTACAATTATCTGTCGTGGTTTGTGTCTGAACTACTTGATTCTTGAAAAAGATATCTCACCCGTGGTGGTCCAGTGTAGGTAGTATTCTACAATAATCTGACCATCTGTCGTGGTTTGTGTCCGAACTATCTGAAAAAGATATCTCAAACGTGGTGGTCCAGTGTAGGTAGTATTCTACAATAAGCTGTCGTGGTTTGTGTCTGAACTACCTGAAAAAGATATCTCAAACGTGGTGGTCCAGTGTAGGTAGTATTCTACAATAAGCTGTCGTGGTTTGTGTCTGAACTACCTGAAAAAGATATCTCAAACGTGGGGGTTCCGTGTATAGGAAATAAGCTGTCGTTGAAGAAACCTAATTACCTAAACGAAACTAACTTTATTTATACTGGATAATTCTATCAATTCTAAACTGTTCTTCCTATATAGAGGTTTGACCTCACCAGTTTGCTTTTTGGAGTGTTAATGGTTTGGCCATTTTAATTTAACAGAATATTGATTTCAAAGAATTTGTGTCTGCATCAAGTATACGGATTTTGATTAGACGATATCGCGCAACAGGACAACCGTTTATCTCGAAGCGTTATCGATCTAAACGTCTCGTTGATTTGCACAGCTGCTAGTATACTTGTAGTGCGCTTTTGATTTTGAACAAATAAAATATTCTATTATCCAATTTCCATGTAAGTTATGTCTTACGACGAGTTTGGCCATCTCATGACTCGAACTGATTGTTGACGAGATTCGTGGATGGAAATTATCGAGTTAAATTTTTATACCTTTTATATTAGACCATGCAGTGACCAGAGCAGTTGCGATAAATACAACTACAGGGTGTATAAAAAAAAAAACGGAGTCCTCACATGAAGTGTGAATTTCAAAGCGAATATGAAAGTTAGACGTTTACACTTGCATTCTTTCGAAATCGCGATCTTTCGGCTATTTTATATACTTTATTTTATAAAATTTGGAATTATTGCTGGCGAGCCGTGTCAATTTAAGTAAGTGCAACTGGAAAATTAAAAAAGTAGATGCTGCTACATTTTGCCTAAAAGTAGCCAAGTAGTCGACTACTTTTCAAACAGCGAATCTCTATTCGCTATTTTTTAAAATTGTTAGCAACTTGATGGAATAGTATGATATTGAGACACGGTTTGCTTAAAATCAATACTCAATAGTCAATTTGCACTCTTGAACACTGTCTGTAGTGCTTACAAAAATGTTGCTTTGTGTTTACTGTTGCTACTCGTAAGTGGATTTGTTATAGGTTATATTACAGCCTGAGTTAGTAGATGCTCCAAATACAGTAAAACTAAAAAATATAGCGTAGCGAAATAGCGAAATAATTCTCTACATTTTTAAGCAGTGGCTGTAGTCAGTAGCGAACTACCTTTGTTCAAAAGTACCAGTAGTTGTAGATGACTACATATTTTTGAAGTAGCTGTAGTTATAGCGAACTACAAAAATTTTGTAGTCAACCCACCCTTGGCTCTAACCAACTGAGCTACAGAGAGACCGTTGACGTTGTCGAGCTCTAACGAACTGAGCTACAGAGAGACAGTTTTCGAGCTCTAACCAACTGAGCTACAGAGAGACAGTTGTCGAGCTCTAACCAACTGAGCTACAGAGAGACAGTTGTCGAGCTCTAACCAACTGAGCTACAGAGAGACAACTGTCGAGCTCTAACCAACTGAGCCACAGAGAGACAGTTGTCGAGCTCTAACCAACTGAGCTACAGAGAGACAGTTGTCGAGTTCTAACCAACTGAGCTACAGAGAGACAGTTGTCGAGCTCTAACCAACTGAGCTACAGAGAGACAGTTGTCGAGCTCTAACCAACTGAGCTACAGAGAGACAGTTGTCGAACTCTAACCAACTGAGCTACAGAGAGACAGTTGTCGAGTTCTAACCAACTGAGCTACAGAGAGACCGTTGTCGAGCTCTAACCAACTGAGCTACAGAGAGACAGTTGTCGAGTTCTAACGAACTGAGCTACAGAGAGACAGTTGTCGAGATCTAACCAACTGAGCTACAACCTTGACAACCTTGTAACAACTTGATGAAACAATAGCATTGTCACAACTTGTTGACAAGCTTGCTTCAAGTCTGTTGCGAACACATCTTGTTGACAAGTTGCGAGATTTTTACGCGGTATGTAGACCTAAATTTCAAATACTGAAAGCTAATTTCTCTTTCTGTTTTTAGAAATCGCCCAACGATCAAGCCTTTTGCCTTCGGAATTTGGCGCTGACATAAAATAGCGAGCCTCAGTATGGCAAATTACACAGAGATTCCCAACTCGATCAATATCTCGTTGCAAAACAACACAAATCTCAATCCTGGAGAAAATGCTACGGCAGAGGACTCCCTAATTGTGGTGAAATTAGCATGCCTCAGCGCAATTAGCTTAATTGGCGTAATTGGGAACGTCTTAATCTGTGCTACATTGATTGGACACCATCGAAAAACAAGCGAGATGTTTATATTGAATCTCGCCATAACAGATCTTCTAGTCTGCGGGGTTGGTATCCCCTTGGATATTTACCAAGAACTTCATGTGCTATTTCCATACGGTCCCGTGCTATGCAAAGTAGTATGGCCGTCGCAAACGCTTTTGGTGCTGGTTTCGATCTTAACCCTAACTGCGATGGCATTGGAACGGTATCGGGCCATAATCAGTCCTCTTAAACCCAAGCCAAAAAAGCAAGGTATCCTCAAATGTATCGCTATAATCTGGCTGCTTGGTCTGGCCGTGGTCATGCCTTATATAAACGCGTTGACATATGCAGATGGAAACTGCGACGAAATATGGCCCAACCCAAGAGACCCCGATTATTACACGCTCGTGCTGTTCGTTATAGATTATTGCATACCGCTAACGATAATTAGCTATTGTTACATCAGAGTCGGAGTGAAACTGTACAAAAGCAACCTGCAGTTTAGCGCAAGCCCGGCACGGAAAAGCGGCCTGAATTCCGACGCGCAACGGATACGGCTCAAACGAAACACCCGCATCATTAAAGTGTTTAGCTTTGCGGTCGTAATGTTCGTCATTTGCATGCTACCGGGAGACATATACTGGTTGTATAAATCCTGGGGAGAATCTGAAATTCCATACGAGAACCATTTCAGTACTTTTGCAAATATTCTCGTCTACGCGAATTCTATGATCAATCCGTTTATATTCGGGACCTGTAATATACAGTGTTTGGAATCCATATTTCTGCGTACGAAGCAGCAAAACAGTTCCTATACGCTAAGGTTTTCGTTTACAAGTTCTTTTAGAAGGCGGGGCAGCAAAAGTTCTGCGGCGGCTAATCAGTGGAGGCGTGTGGCTCGGAGAGTCAGGAACAAGGAATTCAAGGCAACGGTTGTTTATGAAACTAACGTCTGACGGAATTTGTAATTTAGCATTATATATATACGCACGTAAAAACGCACAAGTTGTAACAAACTTACGGCAGACTTGTAGCAATGCTGTTCCAACAACTTGTCAACAGGATTATATCATGACTGTATCAGACTTGTTAGAACAACCTTGTAACATTGTTGTTATATTATGACTGTATCACACTTGTTAGAACAACCTTGTAACATTCTTGTTATATCATGTCTGTATCAGACTTGTTAGAACAACCTTGTAACATTCTTGTTATATCATGATTGTATCAGACTTGTTAGAACAACCTTGTAACATTCTTGTTATATCATGACTGTATCAGACTTATTAGAACAACCTTGTAACATTCTTGTTATATCATGACTGTATCAGACTTGTTAGAACAACCTTGTAACATTCTTGTTATATCATGACTGTATCAGACTTGTTAGAACAACCTTGTAACATTCTTGTTATATCATGATTGTATCAGACTTGTTAGAACAACCTTGTAACTTTGGTTACAAGGTTGTTCTAACAAGTCTGATACAGTCATGATATAACAAGAATGTTACAAGGTTGACAATACAAGGTTGTAACAATATGGTTATATCAGGACTGTATCAGACTTGTTGGAACAACCTTGCGACATGTCTTGGTAAAAGTGATCCATGTTTTTATGTAAAGTGTATACAGCTAATTCAAAAAAAAGGTTTTCCTTCAAAAATCTCAAAAGAGTGATGAGTAACTTTTTTCTAGGGCTTTTGATTGGACAAATAATCCTAGTACACAGCTAGTTGTACATCTTAAGTGCTTATTATGTCTTGTCATAGTTACGATGCAAAATTCACACGTTTTAGGCCTTAAGTCAGATGTTACCCATCACACCTTGCACGCTTGGAGTTTAAGGTTTGAGATTTTTGAAGGGCGACCGTTTTTGAAAGAGCTCTATACGTAGTATATATTATTAGTGTCAAAATATAGCTTTAAATGCCCTCACAAGTCTCTATAATAACTCATTGTAATGTCAGTGTGAAATCGCAAAGTCACAGGTTCGATTCCGACGGTGAACCCATCGGTTTGTAAACACAATTGAATCAAATTTTATGCATGGGAAGTTATTTAAAAGTTTTTGGTGTTGTTCAACATATGAATATGTGCTGATTAATTTAACTCAGTAAAACAGTAAAAACTCTTTGTGCTGTAGTCAATTGAACCATTTTTAATCGAACTGACTGGACCAATTTCTAAGTCGTTTTAACTTCCAATTAGAATCTTCATGTACAATTTAATATGCAGTTTTACTGTCGTTCCAATTGAAGTGTTCCTCAAATATTGATTCAATACATTACCTCGGGCTGACCAATTCATTTGATCAAGTTCCTCAAAATATTCATACACTTCCTAGTGTAATTGTAAACTTCCTGTTGAATAGTTTGAATGCACCAATCACCTTTGTTGTTTGTGCAACTAACCAATCATAAATAGAAACAAAGTGACCAAAAATGATCAAATTCTTGGAATTGGCTCTTTCACAGGAAGTGTATGAATATTTCAAGGAACTTGATCAAATGAATTGGTCAGCCTGAGGTAATGTATTGAATCAATATTTGAGGAACACTTCAATTGGAACGACAGTAATATGCAGTTTTAATATGCTTGTACAGCTACAATGCATTCTAATCTCCCAGAATGAATGAAGTTTGGAAGTTTACAGTATACAACAACAGGGTCAGCCATTTTTTGAGACATCCTGTGGTAGCCTTATCACATATTACACACACAGACTATGTCCTAGTCTACTCTGTGCTCACATTTTCAAATTTCCATATATCGAACTCTTCAACAATAATAATTGTTATATCGAATGAGATGATCCAAATCCTGATATAATGCAGACTTTTGAAGCTGGGTTTTAAATGTGAAACCAAAAACGCGTCACATAGTCACAGAATAGCGACTGACCAGGTTTGGACTTTGGAGACGAGGTTGCGAAATTTCAAACGCTAACTACAAGTCTATACGTACAATTTTACCGCATTATAACGATACAGGACATTAATCTAGCCTTCAAATTGTTTAAACAATGCATCATACTTACTTTTAGAAGAATCTTTCGATGAAAAAAACGACGTTTTCTTTGCCAATTTTATATACATAGAAAAACACACTCCTTCGCCATTTCCATTAGTTTCCCAAGTTATCGGAAGTAGTCGGAGAATTGCGGAAACAGCCGGAAATTATTACCCTATGATTGTTACCCTCATTAATATTCTCATTGAGTATTTTATATATTCTCAGTGAATTTTTATGCACAAATTTTCACACTTAAAATGTGACCTTTTTACATATGTATTTAATATAGATATATATGTATATTATTTACACTATACTAGATTTATAGCTTGAAACTTAGATGCTATTTCAGTGGATTAAATTAAATACGACCATATATATATAGCAAAAACCCAACAAGATTAAAACTTAGCGTTCAGCTTACACACAGAGATGCAGTACAATCTGTTTTGCCACGCATGTATTCACATTGAAGACCCCTGCTCATGATTAACAAGCAAAATCTGATTGTGCTACCTTGATAATTTATTTAACTCGGCAATCAGGAAAATATATTTCAAACACTCACTAATAATTCATAAGCTTATTGGCAAATCATGTCAACCATAATATGTCATGTGAAGAGGCTTTATACCTGATAGAACTCATCTTCATTGGTATTCTTCATATAAAAGTCGACCTAGTATTCTTTATACAAAGACTACTAATAAGCCGGCATCTATTGTAATTGTGTTTGAAGGTATTCAAAACATTTGTGGTCGTGTTTTATCATACCTATAAGGCTCGTGCTGCACACTTGCATTTTAAATATGATAAAACACTCCTACGTGTGTTTTAAATAGTACATATAAGTGTCGTCACCAGTTTGTTTATAACTTTATAAAGTTCATTATTTGGATGAAAAAATATGACTATGCTGACATGTGTGAACATACTGTTCTGCATCTTTAAATATGTAAACGTCGTGTCACATCCTTTTGTAAACGTCTTCCATCATATCGCTGCACAGTGCACAACCCCAACACATTGTCCGGCATTTTGTGCGATGGTAGGGGGACATACTGCCAATGGTTCAATGTACTCTGGCAAATTCTCTACGTAACCACTCAGACTCCTGGTAAAACCTTGGATCCCCAAGCTTCAAACAAGTTCTCTTGTAGTAATAGTAATAAAACACGGATCCTGAAAACAGCAGATATTTAGTCAGTTGAAGGCTTTTGTAAACTGGGCTACAGAGACAGTTGTCGAGCTCTAACCGACTGAGCTACAGAGAGACAGTTGTCGAGCTCTAACCAACTGAGCTACAGAGAGACAGTTGTCGAGCTCTAACCAACTGAGCTACAGAGAGACAGTTGTCGAGCTCTAACCAACAGAGCTACAGAGAGACAGTTGTCGAGCTCTAACCAACTGAGCTACAAAGAGACAGTTGTCAAGCTCTAACCAACTGAGCTGCAGAGAGACAGTTGTCAAGATCTAATCAACTGAGCTACAGAGAGACAGTTGTCGAGCTCTAACCAACTGAGCTACAGAGAGACAGTTGTCCAGCTCTAACCAACTGAGCTACAGAGAGACAGTTGTCGAGCTCTATAACCAACTGAGCTACAGAGAGACCAGTTGTCGAGCTCTAACCAACTGAGTTACAGAGGCAAGTTGTCGAGCTCTAACCAACTGAGCTACAGAGAGACAGTTGTCGAGCTCTAACCAACTGAGCTACAGAGAGACAGTTGTCGAGCTCTAACCAACTGAGCTACAGAGAGACAGTTGTCGAGCTCTAACCAACTGAGCTACAGAGAGACAGTTGTCGAGCTCTAACCAACGGAGCTACAGAGAGACAGTTGTCGAGCTCTAACCAACTGAGCTACAGAGAGACAGTTGTCGAGCTCTAACCAACTGAGCTACAGAGAGACAGCTGTCGAGCTCTAACCAACTGAGCTACAGAGAGACAGTTGTCGAGCTCTAACCAACTGAGCTACAGAGAGACAGTTGTCAAGCTCTAACCAACTGAGCTACAGAGAGACAGTGGTGGAGCTCTAACCAACTGAGCTACAGAGAGACAGTTGTCAAGCTCTAACCAACTGAGCTACAGAGAGACAGTTGCCGAGCTCTAACCAACTGAGCTACAGAGAAACAGTTGTCGAGCTCTAAACAACTGAGCTACAGAGAGACAGTTGTCAAGCTCTAACCAACTGAGCTACAGAGAGACAGTTGTCAAGCTCTAATCAACTGAGCTACAGAGAGACAGTTGTCGAGCTCTAACCAACTGAGCTACAGAGAGACAGTTGTTGAGCTCTAACCAACTGAGCTACAGAAAGACAGTTGTCGAGCTCTAACCAACTGAGCTACAGAGGCAAGTTGTCCAGCTCCAACAACAAGTTCTTGTATATGTAGTGGGTGATGGGTTGGGGTTCGGATTGGGTGTTTCACTCGCTAGAACTAACAGTTGAATGGTTTTGTTACTTTTGTAGTTGAAAATTTAGAATATTATAAACAGTTTAGACAGTCGGTCAATCATAAACATAAGAAGGAAATTAATATAATTCTTTGTTGAGTTGAGTTTCTCCCTCATTTGTGAGCAGATTTCCCAAATATAGGCTATTGTCCAATTGATATTGTATTTGGATAATCTTTAATAATGCTGATATAATCAATACCTAATCTTTGATAATGCTAATATAATCAATACCTAATCTTTGAAAGACGTAAAGAACCTGAAATCCACCTTGCCATGTATACTTTTCAGGATCTCCCCATTTTCGTGTCTAAAAATGAACAGATTTACACATTGGCTCATTTCACAAAACCACACCTAATTTCATTAACCCTTTAATGTGCAATGTGCCCTACTTTAGTATTTACTTGGTCTAACGCCAGACAATTTTACTCATCAAGGGATGAGCCTAGGACATTAATAGGTTAAGACAGCCCACTTTCCCAGGACGACTCAGCAAGATGCAATTACATAGAGAAAATGTAAAATTTTGAACTTGGCGCTAACCGAGTTGTCTTGGTTATCGACAAGAGAGGTGCAGGCTCGGCGAGTTGGAAAATTGTCCCACCTCGGCTAGCCGGGACAACTCGGCCCGTGCAATCGACCCCTAATACTAGCCAATTATAAATGATATTCTACAAGTCAATATCATCGCTGTTGTTGTGGTTGTTGTTGTTGTTGTCGATGTCCCTGGCACAGTTTTTGTGAAATTGTCCTTGTTTGCTAGTAATGTGTTTCAATAAAATTAATTAGGACTAAATGTAGTAATAATACAGTAAGTTTATGTGTTTGTAATTTTTGTCAATGAAAAGCCCCTTCAGGGGAGTGTCAATAATCAATCGATTTATCAGCTTGCTGCTCTGTTTTCCAGCTGTAAACAATAGACTTACCATTGTCCAGACATGAAGACCCAATGACAGCAGTAGATATAGGACAGTTATAATAATAGTAGTCTTAAACTTTCTGATCAGTAAAAACACAAGTCCAGCTTGGAATATATACGTATTGAAAAACACCAGGAACACGACGATCAGTTCAAACAGGATACATACATCTTGAATTCTGAATAAAAAAACAAAAGTGTGCTGAAGTGTTTTTCACACAATGATTATCAGATATAAACGGATCAGATTATGTTCACCGAAAGATATATATATATGAATAATACCATGTAAGCCCACAAACCAAACCATAATTTTAAAACCCTTATAAACGAACCACAAGCCCAAAAACATTATACCCTTAATTGTTTACATATGTTGACAACAGACATTCTCAAAATTTCGCGCCGATTAAAAGGCGTAAAGCCACTCAAAAAGCAATCCGTACTTACATATATAGCACTAAAAGGATAACGTCTTCTGCTCTAAATAAATCCCCAAAAGAATTGATAAAAATATCAAGGAAAAGCAGCGATAATTGTAGGTAAACTACAGGCCGATATCTTGAAACACGCATTACTCACAGACGACCATTTTGTTTGAGAAAAAATGTCAATGATAAAAGGGGATAGTGATTGATAGTACGCGATTTTATAGGATAATAGGTGAAGAGTTAGGATAATAAACTATAAACGAGGGTAGTAGTTGATAATATGGGATGTTGTAGTATCATAGTGGATAACAAGGCAGAAGTAATAGTTGATAATATGGGATGTTTATTGATAATAGAGGATGGTAAGTGGTAATAGTTGATAATATTGGACGTTTAAGGATAATTACTGATAACAGGTGATAGTGGGAAGTGATTGTTGATAATATGGGACATTTAATGATAATAGATGATGGTAATAAGTAATTGTTGATAACATGGGACATTTAATAATAATAGGTGAGGTGAGGGATATCAATTGATCTTGGAGAATAACAGTTGATAATGGGAAACATTCAATCATAGCAAAGGAATGCTAAAGGATAGAAGCTAAGAAAGGATAATGGTAATACCAAGATAATGGTATATAGGTGAACTAATAGAATAAGATATTTTTACCATACCATTTTGAAGCCGTGTGCTTGCTATAAAAAATCTCTATTACATGTAATTCTATGCTGCGAGTGTGGCTTGTTTGATAATTGAATTTACTCCCAAAAAGTTGAGGAAAAATTCATGCGAGTAGACACCATAGATTAAATATTAAACTACCTGATGGTGACAAAAAGCTGCCACATGAAACGCGCTTCGCTTTTTTTTTAATTAAACATACACAAACAAACACAAAAAAAATATTAAAATAATATGATTATTCCCCTAGGACCCTCTTATATACAAATTTCAATATAGGGGCAGTAGATTGGTGGTCTTATTGACAGTTATAAGAGCAAGGTAATACAATATTAATTAAATCTACATCAGCGTCTACATCACAGAATCTACATAAAACGAAGCAGACCTCGCAAGGCAAATCGAATTTTGAGATGAACTGTTAGCCGTTCGGGCAATCAGTGAATTTAAATTGAACATGATATTTGCACGTGTTAAAACAACCCAGCTCTTCCCAGTTGATATACACAGGCTTGAACAAGCTTGTGCAGCACCCTAAGAACACGTCATGCCGAGTGGATATTTCTTTTCTAATTGATATTTGAAGATGGGTAAAAATTTATTTTATTTTCTAATGGCTAGGTCAGAAAATTTTTTACCAAGAAAAAATTTCACTTAGGTGCCACCACCCACCCCCCTCCAAAAAAAAACATAACGATCGCTCTCCTTAAATTCTGGTTCTGATATCAGCAGGTTGACCAGCATCTCGTGTTCGGCGGAACTGCAGTCTATCAACGCAGATATATTTACATTCCTAAACAAAACTACCAAAAATTCTTAAACTTTCAGAGGCGGCGAGTTCCAATGTGCCGAACTCGTGCGCTGATAGAAACGTTTTCGTTTTTTCGTGAAAATTTTCTCCAGATCGGGCGCGTGTGGAACGAAGCCAGAAGCGAGTTCCTCGAACATGCGTTGGGCTTCCTCTTGCTGTAGGAGGGCGCTTTTCAACGCCGCGCCCTGGGCCCAATAAGGGACTCTCTTGCGGGGCGCGTCTTCGTCATCTGTCGACTCGTCGCTACGAATATCGCTGATGTCGTAGTTCTCGATTGTGGCGGGTTTCCGAGTTTGCGCTGGCGGTGGCGTCATCAGATAGGAGTCTGCAGTTCTTGCCGCTTGAAGCATTGCTGCTCTCTGTTCCTCGCGTTTTCGTTGCTCTTCACGTTCTTTCCTAGAATCAACAGTAAACGCATTGGTTCATTTACCGTGCTAGATTAATGAGCTAACTTTATTTATACTGGATAGCTCTATTAGTCCAGTAAAGATCATCTCTTATTGATCCAGTGTTACTACAGGAGGAAACCTAAACTAAACTAACTTTATTTGTACTGGATAGCTCTATCAGTTCTAAACTGTTCTTCCTAGAGGTCCAGTAAGGATCATCTCTTATTGATCCAGTGTTACTACAGGAGGAAACATAAACTAAACTAACTTTATTTTTACTAGATAGTTCTATCAGTTCTAAACTGTTCTCCCAAGAGGTCCAGTAGCGATCATCTCTTATTGATCCAGTGTTACTACAGGAGGAAACCTAAACTAAACTAACTTTATTTATACTGGATAGTTCTAAACTGTTCTTCCTAGAGGTCCAGTAAGGATCATCTGATTGACCCAGTGTTACTACAGGAGGAAACCTAAACTAAACTAACTGTGAAGACCCTACAATGTTATACCATAACATTTTTTGTTCTTTTCATGTTCAGGGAGCAAGAGGAACGACAAAACAAACGGATTGCTAAGTTGATCAAGGATAAAATGGAACAGGGGAATAAAATACGTGAGGAAAATTACGGGAAGGAAATGAGAGATATTTTTCTTAAAACTGAGCTATCCAGCTATTTGGTTTATGTTTCCTCCTGTAGTACCAGTTAAAAAGGCGAAAGAAAAATACCTCTCATTTTGTTCTCGTAATTTCTCCTCACATAACTTCTTCTCTTGTTTCATTTTATCCTTGATCAACTGAGTAAGCCGGTTGCTTTCTCGTTCCTCTTGCTCCCTGAACATGAAAAGAACAAAAAATGTTATGGTATAACCATGGATTGTAAAATAAATGGATTGGAAACTTCTGACGTCATTGACTGCATCCTTGTTGAAAAACGTGACGTCACGCGTATTGCGAATGTTACCAAAGTTCTCGGCATATTTGTTGTTTTGCTATATTTTCCACTTTAAAAGGGTGATCTTGAAGCGTAAACTGGTCTAATTGTTTTAAAAACATGCCTAAGCCACGACAAAGTATTCAAGGTAAATGTTTTTCGTCTTTGTTTTGTATTTTTTTACATTTGTAGCTACGAAATTGGCGTCACAAATTTTAACGAAATTTGCGATGTATTTTTCACTGTTTAGTGCTTGAAATATTTGCTAAAATTGACTGGAAATACTTAGAGTTTTCATCGTAGAATGGCGTGGTTATATTTATTTGCTCTTTGACTAAAATGTTTAGCTGTATTATTGCTAAACATGCCGTTTTTGAGAATTTGGTTTTCAACTAGGTTGGGGCATCCAACCACGCCATCAGCCCATTGAAAACATTAGGTCACGTCAGCTAGTTTCCTATCCATTTATTTTGTATAAAGTGACTTGTATTTTTCGGATTGAAATAAAAACTTTTTGACACTATATATATATATATATAGAAATAGCTGATTGAAATAGCTGACGAAAATGCCATTGAAATAGCTGACGGGTCTAAACAAAACGCATGCATGCATATACAGTGCATCGACGCAAGAACAAGTTATTCATATGGTACAACCGTTGGAACCAAATATATATATATATATATATATATATATATATATATATATATATATATATATATATATATATATATATATATATATATATATATATATATATATATATATATATATAAGGCTTTCTGGCATCCTTGTGTACAAAAGTAGGACAAAAGTAGGACTAGAATTTTAGGAAAAGTAGGAATAAAGTAGGAAAATGTGTAGAAAAGTAGGACAAAAGTAGGAGTTTTGGAGATGCAAATAACACAAAATTATACAAGGTCATACAAAATTGGCGCCCTATGATATATGTGGTAAGGGGTAGACCATTAGATATCTGATGGGGAAGTTGTGTGAATTTTTGGTGCTCAATATTTTTATGTACTCATTCATCTATGCAGGATTTTTTTCTCAAAACTTTTAAATTGTATAGGTATAAAAGCTAAGGCATCTGCTCTGCAGCAACACAATTCAAATGCATGTATTGGGCTACACAATGCACCAATCCACACTGCGGCAGGAGCATATATCAGGGCCGTAGGAAGCTCTTTTCGATTGGGGGGGGGGGCTGTAAGCAAGGGCCGCCAAAGGCC